AAAAAATCCTAAATTTTGGTAGTGTCAAAAATTTTCGAAGATTTTTTCTGTTCATTTTTAAACGTTGCAAAGTCGATTTTTGGATTTTTAAGCGAAAAAAAAATCAAAAAAGTACATTTTTATCGATGAAAACGAAGTCGTAGAGCAAAACTGACTACGGCATTCGATTCTACAGACAAAAATACGTAAGAAAATGTATTGTCGATATTATTTTTACTCTCGAAACACAGTTTGAAATAAATTGAATGGTTGACTGATTTTGCTCCTATTTTGGACCACGTTTTTAAACTTTAAAAATCGATCGACACCGGTTCCCGACACTTTTTTTAGGTTCTGAACCCGGCTTTCTTTTCGTAAAGACTTGAACTTTCAGAATCGCCATGACGTATACGCGATTTTGAACATTTTTGCAAAAGCGAACCACCCTAATATACACTGAGTCAAAAAATTCCTTGCAGACTCACATGAGAATTAAGTTCAATCATTTGTTTGTTGAATGGTGTTTTCGAGGCGTACTTTTTGCAGGCTATTGCTGCGTTCTTCTCCTCTGACCAAATATTCAGGTTACCTACCCTCACGTTTCTTATGAAAGACGTAAATTTATGTTTTTTACGAAAATTCTGTTTTACCGACACGATCCCTCTAAGTATTATTTCTTTAAAAAATAATGTGTTAAAATATGTAGACATGTATGAAATATTTTAATTGGTCTTTAACTGTCACAGATGTGTAATTATTGGCAGAGACAAAACCGAGAACGATGATCATGGGTTCTGAGGATTTTTTTCGCTTCATAGGTGCGTATACTATTTTTCGTAAATCCCCCAGCAAAAATTACCCTTTTTGTTTTGGACGCACGGACTAAAAAAGTTAATTTTAGGCTGGGGTAGCATAAAAGGCTTATTCACTATGTTATATGTTTTAAGTGATTTCGCCATAAATACAATTTAATATAAAATGCAAAGACAACTTACAAAAAAAATCGGCAAAAATTTGTGACCTACGAGTAGATAACACTTTTTTCTGAAGAATGCCAAGTCTACTAGATTTGCTCTTCACATTAATCGCATCTTTAACCAATGTCAAGTAATTCACGTTTTTTGCTTTTTTAATGAATAATCATGGTACTATGTTGTATTTTTTTCGTAAAGTTCCAAAAATACATTTCCAAAACTAAGACTTACTTTTTTAAAATAAAATTGGCTGCATTTTGAACCTCTTTAACGTGCATTCTTCTTTTTACATCAATTTTTTTATTGTGTCAAAAGGATCATAAAGTGGGTAGATGTCATTCAAGTAAAAGTTTATGAGTAACATAATTAGTTGTATTATTCTCAAGCAACGATTATGTGTATAGACAAACTTTTGGTCGATAACACTGAAAAAAATTTAAGGCTATTATACTCCCGCTTGGTTACGAAATGTAACGGGAGGTGGTGGCGCTATTGCCCGAGATGTCGGTATCGTTTTATAAGTGGCTATGTAAATTTTATTTAACACCAATAAAAATATCATTCAATTCAATTCGTTATCGTTTGAATTCCAACTGGAAGGATTTCGCGCCCAAAATAAGAACAAAACTCGGCCAACTAAGAAAGATTCCGTAAGACGACGAACATTGAAAATAATAGTATATTACCATCACACGGGGCATATTGCGCTTCAGATGTTTGGGTGCGAATCTTACCCTAAATTGAACTGCATTAACACGCAATACAGTGATTAATTCTCCCGATACTATAGATAGGGGGTTTATACGATTTTGAGTGGGAACTAAACACAACCAAATTTTTTTCAGTGAAGGAGAAAGAATTGTATTTGCAAAATCCCGATAACTCTGATGTTGAGAACTAGAACTGTATTTAGGAGACTAGCAATGTAATGTACTAATTTTTATTAATATGCTTGATAATGCTTAATATGCTTGTTAATACTTGATAGATATCTTACACATACAGTGTAGTTGGATTAATGAATGGACACGAATATACTATGAAAAACAATTAAGAATACATTTACATCGACGTTATACAATTTTTTAGTGAACGGTTCATCTTGTTTTCTACGTCGGATCACCATCTAACAAGGAAAAAGTATAATTTTGGCATATCTAAAAGAGGTCATTAACTGATCAAAAATGGTCAATCACTGATTCATGTACACTACAGTGTTAAATGGAAAGATGAAACATTCTGACAATGTATAATTCAATTAATGTACCTATTTATTAACTGAAATAAAAGAAATAATGTTCTGACGAGTTGCCTATATTTGCTGGAGATATAATACTGAATAATACTAAAACAGGAACTGAAAATTAAAACGGCGATGGTATCAATATGATATTATCAAATTAATATGAAACATCAGTCTACATTTTTTCTGTGAATTCATTTTCTGGCACAATAATCCATTCAATTTTATTTAGATACCTTTCGAAACGTTCTAGCCTGTTTGAAGCTCAGAATTCGGCTCAAACCATTAAAATTTAGCAGCACTGAAAAGTGCAAACAAAATTATCGCTTATATATTAATGGAATATTGCCAATGTGACTTGCGTATACTGAAAAATATTTAAGCTTCTTATCTTCGGCTGTGTATCTGCTGGCGATGAAAAATTTAGCGAGATACAGACTTTTGCGGAAATTTTCTCGCAGGAGAAAGTTTAACCTCTGATATAGAACTTTCAAAGGTATATGTACTTGAAATCGAAACGTATGCCGTGATTATAAGCATATTCTATTGGATTGATAAAATATTAGGAAAGCGTTAATTAAATTATGTTTAATATCTTTTAGTCAGCTCAGCTAGAGTTTATACGGATAAGCCTAGTTCTTGAGAATAGTTGCGAATGATTAATCGAATATCAGATAAAAGCTGAAATTTATAAAATGTGAAATTTCGCACGTTTGAATAAACGTGCGAGTTGTGTACGAGGTGATCAGTATGGCAAAAGGTATCGTGCGCAGGTTGAATCGCGCTGCACTATATAATATGTAAAAAATGTTGTCATTTTTCGCTTTATCTTTTCTCGAGCTATTGCAATAACAATTCATTTATTGTTGTGAAAAAAAGTTTTATGACTCTCGTCGCGTGCGCTCGAGATAACGTATGAGCAAGTGTATTCGCGCTCAGTCCTGATTTAAACAAAATTCATTTAAAAAGTCGTTGACCTTTGACAAGCACGGATCGTACAGTTACGGACCCAAACCACTCGCACTCTCTTTCTCTTCCTCTCCAGTAAGCTAGAGCGAAAAAATCTTATAAGGTTGTTTACCTCGATTATACGGCTTGATTTGCCTTATCGGTCAATCTTCATCTTCGCCGATAAAACAGCAGCAGTATCGCCAAAATTTTACGGAGACGCACCTAATGAGCAAATGTTAGTATTTACTCGTGCATCAAATTGATAATGAATTCGTCAATTGTCGTGTTTATCATTTGGTTTTTGAAGCGCGAAATATTAAAACTCGTCGATCAAGCATTGGATGATAATTCTAAAAGAGTAATCGATTCGATCTGAATTGATTGGTCTGACTAAAGGCTGCTTCATCTACTGAGACGTAAATTTGGACTCAAGCTAAATCTTATACTTGTAAGCTCAAAACAGCCTCGGGGTTATTTATAAAATGACCACAACTGATTCTCCTATTATAGTGTCAGAATATTTTTTGTTTTCTGCTCGATAGTAGTCTCAGCTTGAAACAGTTGAGAATCTCTCAAATAATATAACCCTCGTACCGAGTTACGCATATCAAGTGTAATTTCCCTATAGTAGTTTTTTGACATCCTGAGTCCCTTTCTCTGCACTTGCCGTCGGCGCATGGCACATGAACATTCACTTGCGGGCTACTAATAACTTAGCGTGGCATTGGCGGTAAAAGTGACTATAGGTCCGCGCACGCTTGTGACTAACCAAAGATATGCTACTAGTTGAAGGATATATCGAAGAATGTTAACGACATAACCATCTTGGCAGGTACAAACATTCTTTTCTTTGTTTTACACTTGCCGCTTCCGAGCTCGAGCGAGTGCACTTGATGCGAATCGTGTATCTACCAGCGCTTGATCGCTTTGTAAGATTCATTGAAAAGTTTGATCTATCGATTTGATAAGGTCGTTATCGGCACCGTCCAATTTCAACCGGGTCATGGATTTTCTTGCTGGATCAGACAAACCTCAAATTAAACGACAGTCTAGATTTATTACGAAAAAAATGTGAAATTTCATGGCTGTTAATTGATCCAGTGATCGATGGAGAATGTGAGTGCAACTACGAGGTGATTCGTTATATAATTACAATCGGCATTACATCGAGATCTCGAGAACAATTCGTAGCTTCAAAAGTACTGCTAGTCAAGTTGCTCGCCTTTGCATCGGCCAATGGCATTCGAGCTTGCAGCAGCGTGAAATACCTCGGACCGCAATAATGAGTTCGGGACAGTCTTGAGCTGCTCCGCGTCGCGATCGAGATTTCGCAAGGGGCAAAAGGTGCATCGTCTAATCGCTCGTGAGAATCACCCGTACACATACATATATACAGTACATATGCAATACTGCTCGGTGTCGTGTCGTTAAAACTCATTAGAGAATCACGCTGACCCCGAGAATCCCCCGATGGAGATTCTTGTGTAGACGCTGTATCGTTAGAAAGTCCTCGGATAATGCGATGTCCATAATGTGCGCACAGAGCCAGCAGCTCGAAGCTCACCAAGAATCAACGCACACAACCCATGAAAATAATGCAGTTTCTTCGTCGAAAAGTACTTTCGATTGCTTGGCGAAAGTAACAATATTGACTTTTTCAAGTTATATCAAGTTGAGCTTTACGATTGTGCTATCTAATAAACGTGATTTCAGCTAACAATGTAGCAATTGAATCGTAAATTGGCTCTCTGCGAGCACGAGGATCATTGTTGTTTTTTCTCTATTTCTTCGTGCAATTAGATTGACAAAACGATAATAATAAAAATCAAACAAGAAGCGAGGTGAAGAAACGGTTTTTTTTGCAATATATTTATTTTCTTATCGTCAAGTAAAATCGTCGAAGATCGTGCACAAAGACAAGAGAGCCCGAGCACAGATACATTAGTGTGTGCATGTGTGCGTGTGTGTGTATGAATAAAGTATTTATGTGTATATAATATTTATACATGCGAGAACACAAAAATACTTAGCGTGGAAAATAAACGATCAAGATGCTACTGTATTTACGTGAAAAATTCACATCAATTTCTGGCAAATGGTATAAGTTTTTTTCCACGTCTCTCGCGCACATCGTGACGATCTACTTGAAAACTTGTTGCTAAAGCTCCGGGATCTCCCGGCAAGGCATATTTGCGATCGCTGCCTGACGAGTTTTTTACTTTGCTTTGTGTGTAGATGGAAAGAGAGGTAGAGGTAGAGAGTGTGTGAGAGAGAGGGAGGGAAGAGCGCAAAGAGCATAGTACTGCATACAAATGGACTAATGATGGTGATTAGATCCCTAGTAATGAGACGAGATCGTAGGGCTTTTTCGGATTGCTCTGCTTCAATTTTTTCGACTCGATTGGTCGTCGTTTAACAACGTGACTTTTGCTCTATAAATATAACGTATACAAAGCACAAGAAACGAAGAACAATTGGAATGGAAAGTTTCGATTTTTTCCCCTACCCGAGACAAAACGATATGACTGCAAATAATCCGATAAAAAGTAGCTATACTATGATGTGGATTTTGGCGCCGTTCCGTTGTGGTAAAAATCATGAAAAGACGCAGAAAATGAAAAAGGCGGCGTCGTGGGTCACATAATCAACAATCGGCCAACGACATCGTATATAGGTGCACGTATGTACTCGTGCTTGTATTTTCTGATGTTTGCTGCGAGATCCCCTTTGGAATTCGCATAATCGGCCTACCGCCTCTCTCCTTCTCTCTCTCTCTCTCTCTCTCTCTCTCTCTCTTTCTCTCGCGAGTGCACACACCCGAGACAGACTTTTATATATATAACGCGATGAGCTCCTGTTTTATACAATAAGGCGCGTACGTCAGAGCGCTCGAAAGCAGGGTACTTTCGGTTTTATTTCAATAACGTCAACGAGGCGATCGCTTTTGAATCCCAAATCGTATGCATGAATTTATTTTTAAGAGCGCGTTCAGCAACTCAGACACACGATCGACGTATCCGAAGCTCTTTCGAAATCGACGCTTAGGAGCTCGGCTCGAAAGGACTCGGATTTCTGGTATGCGCGACATGTATACGATATTTGTGCCACGACGCCGAGCACTAGTTGGCAGATTTGACGCAAATCACGCTTATGGCTGTCAAGCGGGAGACTAGGCCACCTCTGCGAGCATACGTGCAAATAAAATGTCGGACTCGCGGCGCCCGAAAATTCGAAACCGGTTGAAGCGACTGCCTTTGTGTGCATTAGTGTAGCGCACTTGGAGTCTTACATGCACACACGCACACACACACACACACACACACACACACACACACACACACACACACACACACACACACACACGTAGACATACACAGGCGGCCGAGCACGCAGTATATATCGCCTTATCGCCTTATCGCTGACCTCGTTCTCCCTCGCGAAAATAACGCTTTTTCGGCTTATCTCGGTGTATGTATACCGCGCGCCGCTGCCGCTGCCACTGCCACTGCCGCTTATTATTATAAACGATAATGTTCGTGTGCATAGTGCGGCGCAGCTATGTAGCAGCTGCCCGCCGAGCGTATGCGTATACGAGCGTTTCGGCAGACTCGAGATCCGACGAGCCGAGAGCTCGATGCAGCCAACTTTGTCCGAGGCGAGCATCGTGCGTTTCATATTATTATATTAATGTTATTAAAAGCATACAT